GTGAATCAAACATCTACACTGCTCTCTGCCAATTAATAACTCCAGATAAAACACACAGGGAGAGACTGACAATATCAGAGATTTTGTGTGCTCTCCTGCCCTGATAGACATCATAGCACTTTACTGCTGTTTTACATGTCCAAATATTTGCCTGGATAAGTAGACTTAGAATAGTTTGAGTAAGCTGCACTTTGGAAGCTGGATGAGTCACATCATGAAGAAATATTCTGAAAAGGTCTACAGCACAATTACAGACAGAAAAATGAAAGAAGTCGACACTAAACAATGTATCAAGGGTAAAAATATCCAGACTAGGTTTGCCAAAGGAGGACTTTTCCCAAGTCTAATATTTATGAAAACTTGTTTCATAAAACAGTCAATTGGACTGGAGTGCCTTTTTAAATAATAAAATACATACTTCTTGCTTTCTTTGTCTGGACACAGAACATTCCATGTGAAGGAAAAGAAATTGAGCAGTTTGAGCAGAAACCTGCCTGGCATGCTAGAAACACCCTTGAGATCATGGTATAAATATTTGAAAATCAGATTTTATACTCTTCTGTAATTCTGCTTGTAGCACAAGAAGCAGGGAACCACAACAACACACACACACACTGTAAGAGAAGGCTGAGGTTATAATTTTATGTCTCTCAGAGTGCAGTGAGAAGCCTTACATGCCTCAGAGAGCCGAGAGCAGATTTAGCAGGTTATGTAGATCAATTGCAGACAGATATTTAAGGAAGCAAAAAGTGATATTCCCACCATTAAATATAGGTTGGAGTCTTAATAAGGCACAAAGTGAGGGGAATGAGAAGCTTTGAAATTGAAGTTATTATGCGCTGCATCAACTTCCAAAAATTACATGCTAATATCATCCTCTTGCTTTTATTCCTCTCCAGTTCAGCAGAAATCCACTCCTCAGTCTCTTTCTGCAGGTACAGCTGCTCCTGTCTCACAGATTGGATACCCCTCTCTGCTCAGACAGTGAGCTCTTCCCCCATCGAAATGAAGCATCCTTCCCAAAATGCCCCAAACCCAACAACTTCACCATGGATCCAGCGACGTCGAGACGTGCACCCAAAGTCACACCACAGCAAAGGTTCAATCACATCAGCAGCAATAAGTACAAAAATTGTGTTTTATCAAGCAAAGAACCCATGGAGAGAGACCTAAAAAAACAAAACCAAAAAACCCCACAAGACCAGACCAAGGTGAAAACTAGAAAGCTGCAAGATCACAGGCAATTATGGGTGACTTTCTTGGCAATCAGGACTTGCAAATTAAGTCCACCTCCTGGCCTGGTGGCTGATTGCCAGGAACAAGTTAATTAACCATCACTAACAAATGTGCTTGTATGGTCTTGCCTAGTCTTTAACTAGCTGGCTCCACCTCTCCCTGGCAGCTTCCCCTGACTGACCTCCTTTAATTGCCCATGGGCCAAATTCACCCTGGGGAAAATTTTTTTATCCTTAGTTTGCACCAAGAATTAATTTCGCCCTGAAAATATGCTCTGGCATTTTCCTCATAAACTAAAGAAAATAATAAAATCTTTCTTTTTATTTCCTTTTTTTTTTTTAAACCTTCCCTCAACATCATTGACCTTTCCCATCTCATTCCAGCCACTTACAGACAGTTCCTTTTCTTTCAGCTGATTTTTGCAAGCATTTGTTTTATTTTATATGTTGCTCATTGAACTTTTTCCAGTCCATGTGTCTTATTCTAAAACTACAATTCACAAAATAGCCTAATTCTCCAAATGGTGCTGAACTGAGTGGAATAATTACCTTACTTGTTTTAGGTCTCCACTGGAATCCAGAATTACACACTTGGAAAATTATGATTGTTTTATCTTCTCTTTTTTTCTTTTCTGCAATTTCACAAGATGTGTGAAAGACAGGTTTTTATAAAGGACATAAACCCAGCCAAAACTATAATTACCACAGACAGAAAAGTATTCAGAGAAAAGATGATTTTATGATTAAGGCATTGGAGTAGAAACTCAGAAATGTAGATTCTTTTTGTGGCCCTGCCAAAACCTCTTTATATAACCTTTGCTGAGTTAATCCCTCTGTTCCTCAAATATAACACTCTGGCACTTCCCTGCTTTACGATAGCTGCTGCGTAAACACATTCATTCACATTTGTGAGATGTTCAAACACACCAATAATCAGAGAACCACAACGGGCTGGGATGGCTGAAATCATCTGGCTGCATTTAATCATCTCTTGTCAGGAGTGAATGCAGCTTTAATCACAGGCACGCAGGATGTGGCAGCATGGCTGCTGAGAAACGAGCGCCGGACTAAAAGAAAGAAAAACAGGACAAAAAATCATGTTACCTATAAAAAATAGCTTGCAAATCAGGGCAGCAAATACATAAAAGAATCTAAACATCTCCCCATTCCAGTTCCCCCAAAACAGGGATAGGCTCAAGTCTCTCAGGAAAAAAACCTATCAGAGCATCAATTTACATGCCACTGGAGCTGAAGGAAGCCAAGAGGAATTACAGCAGCTCCCAACTTCTACCTTCATCCCAAGGAAAAGTGCACAAAAGAAATGCTGCTAAAGGCTTACCCACAGTTTTAAAACAGCCTTAGGTACAGGATGCCAGAGGAGCATCAGCTGCATGCTTCCAGGACAGGATGAGGATGCTGAACCCTCAGAGGGAATTTCATATTTCATTTAAAAAACTCTGAGCTTGAGCAATGGCTGAAGTGAGAAAGCAGGAAAATCCAGGCCTGCAAGGCTGCAGGGTCACTGGTCACTGCAGGTATGTCACTGTAGCCACTTCAGTGCCCTGCTGGCACCTTTGGGCATGGACTAAGGCCCAGAGAAGGTTTTCATCTGCTGCTCCACTCTGAACCATGCTCACAGCCACACCTGTATAGAAACTGCTGCCACATCCTCCCAACCCTTTTCCTGGAGGAAAGGGCAAACTCAGGGGTGTTTCCCTTCTTCTCTCTTCCTCCTCAAACACCAAAGGCTTGGAAGGTTGCTGTGTCAACTGATCCCCCCTTCCTTTTTCATTGCTTTAATAAATTAAGCTGAGTAACAATAGAGATGAGAGAAAGCAGGACAATGTGGTAAATGTAGCAGAAAGAAATTTGAATTGTAATGAGGAGAGCTAATCAGGAAAAGAATGGACTATAGAAAAAAGCACTAATGAGTTTCTAAATAAATTCAAAAGGTTAATATTGTTCTATCTAACAAATACGAGAAGAATCCTAATGTGAAATTAAAGGCCTCACTCCAGTACCCTTGCAGCCATATATTAAAGCTGTAACACCCACTCTATTTACCCCTCTGTCCATCACATCCATCCTCTCCTGATACCTCTCATGGACTGCTCCTGGAAATGGGCACCTTTCAGGTCAGCCAGGTCTCTCAATCTCTTTGTTTTCTGTCCATCAAAATGCTTCAGCCGAAGTCTCTAAGTCAATGGACAAACTCTCTTTGACTTGCAGAGTTTGCACCAAGATTATTGCGACTCATTTATGTCAGCATCAACAAAACAGAGATCAAAATGCACTTTTCAAACCATGAGAGGTGTGTGGGTGTTTATGAAGTGATGGATTTTGTGGGATTGAAGCACATTTTTATTCCCTTTTATTACCATGTGGATTTCCAGGGTGAGCAAAAAGCTAATGCAGGTTAACTGAGGAAAGAGCAAGTGAAAATAAAAGTTTATACCAATAAAGAGGTTGGAATGTGTCTTGTTTGTTTTAATTTATATGATGCCAGTAGTTCAAAATATAAAGCTAAGACTTTCTATGTATAATCAAAAGTGAGAGTCCTTTATGTATTCTATTGCAAAACATTGTAAAACTGTATTTCGGCCAAAATTTTGTGTGAGAAAGTAGTCCCTTTCAAGAATTAAAAAAAAATAAAATAAAATAAAATCCAATTCCCAGCAAAGTAATAGACTCAACTTTCCATAAGAATAGAGGATCTGCTCAACTAATTTTTTTGCTTGAAGGAAGGAAATAGTGCCATTATAAAATTTTACTCTGAATATAAAATACCAGAATGACATCATACTTAGGGGAGAACTCTGAGCACATTTGTGTGCATGGCTGTTCATCTGCCAACAAAACCTACAGGGGAAAGCAAGGGGTGGCTGCACATTTATCTGCCCTGGTCCCAGGCTGGCAGCAGATGAGTTAGGTGCCAGCCCAGAGCTCTGTAACCTCGTTACAATCCTGCTGTGCCCACGCTGATGAATCTCTGTGTGCTCATCCCAGGGGCATGGGCTGACTCAGAGCCAGCTCTGCTCCTCTGCCTGCCCTGCAGCCACGGCCCCAAAGGGCAGAGCTGCAGCTGCTCACGCCTGACCACCCAAGCATCCCTTCACACCTGGCACAGGACATGAGACACAGGAAGATGTGCACCATTTTTATTCCAGGTGTGGGGATTATTCTAAAGTTAGAGCAATACTCCTGTGCCACAACTAACCATGTGTCTTGGATTGAAAAGACAGGAGTCTGTGAAGGAAGGCAAAAGCCTCCTGTGAAATGGAAAAGGTAAACCCCCTCCCTCCAAATTACCACAATTTCAAAATTAAAAGGCTCTCAGGCAAAGATATGGGAATGGGAATAACAGTTCTTTACTAGGAAAGAAACAAAATAAAAATAATAAAAAAATGTAATTAGTACAAACAAAACTAGTGATAGGGTCAGAGACCTGACACCCTGAGGAGTCAGGGAATTGGGAATAGTCCAGGTAAATGGTGGCTGCTCCTCCTGGAGGGGCAGATGAAATGCTGCTGGAGCGGGGATCTGGAGAAGGGTGGAGTTTTCTCTGAAGGTCTGGGGATGGAGTAGATGGGCCTGGTCTTCCTCTGGGGATCCAGCAGGGAAGAAGCTGCTCCTCTGGGAATCCAGCAGAGAAGGGCTGCTCTGGTGTCCCAAAAATGCTGATTTTCTGCAGGTAGGGGTGCTTGGCTCCTCCCTCTGGGTGGAGCATCTCACCATGGGATGATGGAACTTTACCGGTCATGCAGTGAGTCATTCAATGGTCCATTAACAGAAGATCTCTCCCCGGAGGGAGACATTGTTCTTGGGAGAGATAAGAAAACTGCCCAACCTCCAACAGATAGCAAATAGAATACATGCTTATCTTACAAGCCGGGACACCATGGTATGTATTATTCACAGCAACCTTGCAAAATGCTGCTCAGCCACTCACCTGCCATGAATAATTTTGTTTGACAGGCAGGTTAAATATTTCAGTGTCCTGATCATCCTCCTCTCCCTGCCCACAAGGAAGGAGGGCAGTCGTGGGCTGCCCTGAGAGGCATCGTGGCAAAGATGTTTAATAGAGGCTTCAGTGGATCTCAAACTCAGTAGCAAAGGCTGAATAAAAAAAAAAAAAAAAAAAAAAAAAGTGGACCCAGGAGATTGGAGTGGGAAATACACAGAGACAGAGACTTGACAGTGAAGACCTGCAACCTCTTTGTGAGTAACCCTCTGAACTTCAACAGGAGACTTGCATTTCCCCCTGGTCAGTTATGGAGAGCTCCCCAGAGCTCCTCAGCATGTCCAGCCTGAGCCACAGGGGAAATAAATGCAAGACAGAGGAGCAACGTGTGCTCCTGAGCCCAAGGTAGATGTCTCACCCACTGAATATCTCTGGCACTATTCCCTCTGCAAAAGCTAAAATGCAAAAAGGCTTCCTGAGACAAAAGGCACTGCGAGGAAATTGCTAAGTGTGAATAAACAGGACAGTTGCATAGCTCATCATAACCCTAATGATGCTCCCTAAATCATGCAGGCCCATCACCTAGATCTATTGGCCACATTAGCAGTCTGCTGAGTGTGGGAAATATGGAGAGGATCATTTTTAAAGGGTTTTGCCTGCAATGCTCATTGGGAACCCTTTGAGATGGAGTCTAAAGCAGATGGTGAAATGGGAAAATTATTCACATTAATTCTTTAGCAGCCTAAAATAAATTTAGAGAATAATGAAATAATGAAAGCTCCATTCAGCCACATTTTTGCTTTTGCAGCAGTCATCAAAGGCCTAACAGGGAGGACCCAATGCTGCTGCATTCCACACACAAAGCTGCTGTGTTAATTGGTTCAAAGACACAAGAGCAGCAATATCCTGGAAAAAAAATAAATAAGGTCATCCCCTTTCATTAGCTATTGTTCAATGGCCTGATGAAAGAACAAACAAGCTGAAACAGCAAATAAACCTCACAATGCTGAATGCAGATCCCTTTCAAGCTTCCTTCACGCACGTGTCCTACAGAAAAACATCTGCTTTGAGCTTCTCATCCACTCTTCAAACTCTTACAATGGGAAAACAACCCTGGTCTTCCATTTTACAGACAAGGAAACTGAGTCATTGCTTTCATCCAGAGGGGGAACATCAAAGTCAGGACTACAGCCTAGCAAATCCAATCTCAAGTTTTCCTGCTCGTTTTGCAGGAGCAACAGCTTCTTGGGTGACCTGGGGAATCCAACCACAAAAGTCTCCTGAGCTAAACACAGTGTCCCCAGCCACATAACAGGACTGGCAGCCTGGGAGGTTTATCCTTCACCCGGATGATCCAGAGGATCTGAGGAACATGTCCAGGGGAGCCTTACTCCCACAGCAACAAGTTATAGAAAATATTTTTTTACAATCTTAAACACAAGAAGCAAATAAAACCATTGCAGAATTCACAAGACATTTCTGTGTGAGTGCAGCACAAAGCTCTGTGAAATTGTTGAAAGCAAATGAGGGAGAATTCAAATGTTTCATACTAAAAATGCTAAAGTTCACTCCAAAAATCACTAACACCCGAGTGATCCAGTATCAAGATATAATATTTGCTAAATGGCAATCTCTAGCTCAGATTTTGCTCCTGATACTTTACAGCCCTGCTGCTTTCTGGTTATTTTATTTCCTAGTAGTTTTTTGGCACAGTGAGCAAAACCTACCAAGGCTTCCAAGGGCTTGTCGGGAGGTTCTCTGAGCCCCTGTCCATGGTCTGATGTTGTTCTGGGTTTCTCCTCTCCAATGCACTGCAGTCAGCGTGCAGAGCTCCCTCACCCCCTGAGAGCCACTTCATCAGGGCTTTTCCCACCAGGTGAGTGCTGGGATGAGCAGCCAGATGTTTCAGAGGATAAACAGATGTGACTCGCATCAGCCGGACAGACTGCCCTGCCTCATTTCCCAGAATCCAGCGATGGTGAGACGCCTCCAGCACTGCCCAGTGCCTGCATGGACTCACTCTGCAGCCCAGCCCGAGAGGTGAGAGCTACCAGCAGTGGTGGTGAGAGCTGCTCCCACTGCCTGACCTCTCCCAGGGCCCAAGAGGAGTGCCTTGGGCAGATGTCACACACCAGCTCAGCTCTGAACAACGCATTCCTGCTCCTCGTCCATGCTTGGGGACAGCAAGGGGGACTCAGGGGACACCTTCCTGGCAAAGCCACACAGCTCTCCCAGCTCAGCTTGCCCCAAACCCCTTGTCTGCAATTAAAACACTGTTTCCCCACCTCCAGCAACACACTCAGAAAATGCCCGGGGCTGAGGCTTTCCTGCCCTGCTCCCAAATGAGGAATCCTACTGGAATGGAGGAGATGAGAGAACACTTCCTCTGTGTTCCTCTTGTTTCTCCCCAGAATTAGCTGGAAGTTCTGAGCCCTGGAAAAAGCACAGCTTGGTAAAGGTCATGATCTGAATGCAGATTATTCACGGACATGAATTTTTCTGATGAATTATTCCAAACACATCATCCAGCTGCTGTACTGAGCACATATAGGATGTGCCTCTGCAGCTACTCTAAATACAAAGCAGGGCATTAAATAAGAACAGTCACTTGCTTGGGAGCATAATATTTTATTTGCCACAAATATGCTAATTCTTTAATTTTCAGTCTCTATGCCAGCTAGAAATACAACATGAGCAAGACAAGTTTTCTTGTAGCTGATTACTAGGTAGCTTATCAAAGTTGATATATTAGATTTTAGGCCCTGATTCAGTGGGGTTTTTTTAGACTCTTATGCAATTTTGATCCCATGGTAATGGATTTTGAGTTGCTTACAAACATGTCAAGACTATCATCTGCCAGTCATGTCCCCATGCTACTAATTATTTATGCCTACTGAGTAAATTTATTGGCAGGTTTGTCAGAAAAAGCAATATTTTTTTCTAGTGCTTTCTAAATAAATATCAAGGGGCAGGGAAGAACCAGCCATTTCAGTGTCTACTGCAACCTCCTGGTATATCTCCAGGTTCCTGAATTCCAGTTTATGGGATTCAGACAATAAAAGCAAAACCAGAGACCCCTTGTCACTTAGCACTTCTTAAGTTTCACCAGTCCTGCTGATAGTGCTGTATAAATCATTTTTAAAAGGCTTGTTTCTGTCACTGTGTCTCTGCTCAGCACAAGTGCCCACTGAGAGGGACCTAACCATCATTTTCAGTAGGATCTGGAGGTTAGAAAAATATATTCTGTGTGCAGTAGGTAGGTCTGGTTGGAGCTAATGGAATTACACAGGAATTTCAGGGCTCCTCTGTGAAGAGGAAGGCTTCGGTCCAAGGCGAATAAAGTGCAACTCCCCTGTCGGAACTCAAAATGTCCCTCAGACATTTTTGGATGTTCCAGACCCCGGTCAGAAGCATTTGAGACCCTGGCAGGCAGCTGCAAACAGCTGTGATTTTGGATTTGAGCCATGGAAGGATTTACCAACCTTGCAGGAAGAACAAGAAGTCACAAAAGTTTAGATATTATAGTAAAGTAGTCACAAAGTAGAGGGAAGAATTTTTGAGTGTGTACAGGTGGGTTTTGGTTTTGTACATGGGGGTCAGAGGTTTTAAGATGGATTTGGGATCTGGGCCTGCCCTGTCCTCCCTCTTTCTTCTTCCTT